GAGCAAATTAATAAATAAACTTAACGCCTGTTCGAGTGAGTTATGTAATTGATGCTTTAGCAGTCACGACGTAAATTTTCTATTATTGAACACCATAGTTTACGAAAGAAACCATTGTTAATTTCTTTTCTTTTCGCAAAGTTATAATAACTAAATTTCCTTCAAAGTGAGAAGAAAAAAAGGGAAAGTAACGATGGGTGACGGAAAAACCTAATTATATATTAGAGGAGGAAACCTAAATAGAGAAGTCGTGCTGAAGGGCGGTAATATTCGAGGAAAGGAGAGAAAGAGAAAGAGAATCTGTGAAAGAATGTTTGTTAACTAGGATGAGCATAATAGAAAAATGCTGGGAACGAAAAAACAAAATACGATGGATGAACCGGATACGTATGGGCAGATGTTGAAAGGAAGAGAAAAATAGAGGAAAGAATTTACAAAAAGGGACTAAAGTAAACAAGTACACTAACAGAGATAGGAAATTTAGAATTCACGACGAAACAGAATGAACAAGGAGCTAATAACGGAAGGGGTGCCGAGATATCTAATGGATGGAAGGAAAAACATCAAACTAATGGCGAGGTTCAGATGCGGAAGCGAGGAGAGAGGAAAGGAGAAATGTAGGAAAGAAGAAGAAACGAAAGGCAGACTATATGTGGAGAGAAAGTAGAGAAATAGACAGAGCTATGGAAAGCAGAAAAGATATACTAACGAGGGGGGAAGAGAAGAAAGATGGATAGAGGATAATAGAAAAAAGAAGGAATGCAAAAAATATAATGTACATTTCATGTAAAAATTTTTCGCCAAAAAGCGCCCATAAAGAATCTATCTATCTGCTTACAACTCTGAAATTAATTACAGAGTGGAAATTTTGTCTGGACCACTGGAAATATCTTTGTGGCGACCATGACAATATAGGTGGTTGTCTAGGTAGGATAATAAATAATTAATATTTGACATTCTGTTATATTTTCAAATCGCTAATAGTTCTTTTATTGTATTTTGTAATAAAACGCTACAATTTGGTGACCCCGACTTGAGACGTGAGTTATTACGTGCGGACACATCTGAAAAATGGAACAACAACTACAGGAACAACAAACGCTCATCGCGCGGCTGCAGGAACAATTAGCGCAAAGTCGACAACAACCGGAACCTACAACAGATACGATAGAGGAGATTAGAAAGGTTAAATTACCAATTTTTTGACAAAAGGACCCCGTCTTATGGTTTGCACAAGTAGATGCTCAATTTCATACGTATAAAATCAGGTCAGACATCACAAGATTTTTCACAGTGGTAGCTGCACTAGATTGTAATGTATTACAACAAGTCTCCGACGTCGTGGCTAATCCACCCTCGACAGACAAATACGAGACCATAAAGAAGAAACTCATTGCGGCGTATTCTGACTCGCAGGATCGTCAGTTGCGCAAGCTGCTTAATGAAATTGAATTAGGTGATCACAAACCTTCCCAATTACTGCGACAGATGAGAAGCTTAGCAGATAAACGCATTAACGAAGACGTACTGAAGACCCTGTGGGTGCAACGCTTGCCTCAAAATGTCCAGCTCATTCTTTCTGCCAGCGAAGGTGTCACGTTGGATAAGATGGCCGACGTCGCAGACAAACTTGTGGAAATATACGCTTCTGGGTCGATTTCTGCAGTCAACCGTGCTGCGTCTCCCAGACGCACGGACATGTCAGAATCTGCATCTGCATTATTAGTAATGCAAAAACAAATTGAGATGCTCACTGACATGGTTAAAACCCTCACCACTGATAGAGGACGTTCACAACAGCGTTATGGTCGATCTAAATCTCGTTCACGCACACACTCCGGTAACTTTAGACATCGCCCAGCAGAGGAAGTTTGTTACTACCATGCCAGTTTCGGTGAAAAGGCAAGAAAATGCAAGCCTCCCTGTAATTTCAAGCCGAAGGAAAACTAAACAACCCACCGACACATGAGGCAGTGTTCGGGGGTAGCGAAAAACATCATCGCCTCTTCATAACAGATAAAAAGTCCGGAATTCGATATCTAGTCGACACGGGAGCAGATATATCGGTGCTTCCAAAGCAGTTCTTGGGTAAGTCAACTTGCATACCCACTAAAGTGTCGCTTTTCGCAGCCAATGCCTCACCAATATCAACTTATGGAGAAAAATTAATTTGCCTCGACTTGGGATTAAGGCGATCGTATAAATGGACTTTCGTTATAGCCAACGTCTCTCAACCCATCATAGGCGCAGATCTTTTGAGTTATTATAGTTTGCTAGTTGATTTAAGAAACAGAAAACTTATTGACTCGAGAACTCAACTCACCTCTGTCGCTAGCATTGAAGACTGCGATGCTCCAACAATTACAACTCTCGTAGTTTCTTCAAAATATCATGAGGTTTTGGCTCGATTTCCAGATATCACTCGCCCCGTACCGCCAGACACTAAAGTGAAGAGCTCCACGGTGCACCACATTATCACAACTGGACCGCCTGTATCGCAACCAGCTCGTCGACTTTCGCCCGAAAAATTAAGAATTGCCAAGGCGGAATTCCAGTTTATGATGGATCAAGGATGGTGCCGACCATCCAATAGCCCGTGGGCTAGCCCACTTCATCTGGTACCCAAGAAAACACCAGGAGACTGGAGACCTTGCGGTGATTACAGACGATTAAACAACATTACCACTCCAGATAAGTACCCAGTGCCAAACTTGCAAGACTTTTCTTATAAGCTTCACGGTAAAACAATTTTTTCGACAATAGATTTAGTGCGTGCTTATAATCAAATACCCGTGGCTGAGTGTGATATTCCAAAGACTGCAGTGATCACACCTTTTGGACTTTTCGAGTTTAATGTAATGACTTTCGGCTTAAGAAACGCAGCTCAAACTTTTCAAAGACATATTAATTTAGTGTTAGCAGATTTTGATTTTTGTTTTTGTTATATTGATGACATTTTAATTTGTTCCTCTTCTCCTGAAGAGCATTTATTTCACCTTGAAAAAGTGTTTCAGCGCCTTAAAGAATTCAAAATTATTGTTAATCCTGCAAAATGTGTTTTAGGCGCTGATCAGGTAGAATATTTAGGCCACCTGATATCAGCTGATGGTAGCTCGCCGCTCCCTGGCAAAGTATCTGCAATCCTCAAATTTCCGAAACCGACCATCGTCAAGGACCTACGTCGTTTCCTAGGCATGGTAAATTTCTATCGGAGATTTATGAAGAATGCTGCTGAAATCCAGGCTCCTTTGAACGATTACCTGAAGAACAGCTGTAAAAACGACAAAACGGCTATTATATGGTCATCCAAAGCTGAAATGTCTTCCGAACGATGCAAGAAAGATCTGGCGAACTGTGCTCTTCTAGCACATCCAATCGAAGGTACAACACTCGCGCTGACAACCGACGCTTCAGATACCTCCATCGGCGCAGTCCTGGAACAGTGCAATAATGATTCATGGACGCCGTTAGGTTTTTTCTCGAGGAAGTTGAGTCCAACACAGCAACGGTACAGTACATATGATCGCGAGCTTCTGGCCATTTACGAATCGATTAAATTTTTTCGTTTTATGGTGGAAGGGCGAGATTTTATAGTAAAGTGCGATCACAAACCTTTGATTTACGCTTTTAAACAAAAGTCAGATAAATCCTCTCCTCGCCAGCTTAGACAGCTTGACTTTATAAGCCAGTTTACAACCTCCATTATACATATTCCTGGAGAAAGTAATGTCGTTGCTGATGCTTTATCCAGAATCGAAGAAATAATCACGCCTACTGTAATCGACACTGAAACACTCGCCGCTGAACAAGAAATTGATGGAGAATTACAACGGCTGTTGAATGGAAGCGAAACATCGTTAGAAATGAAAAAGCTTTGTCCATTTGATAACAGTTCAACAACAATAGCCTGCGATGTTTCTACAGGCATAATCCGTCCTTATGTACCTAAAAGTCTACGACGAAAAGTTTTCCATATGTTTCATAATCTCTCACACCCTAGTGGACGAAACACCGGTCGAGCGATAAAGAAGAAATTCGTTTGGCCATTCATGAATCGAGACATCACGTCCTGGGCGCGATCATGCATACAATGTCAAAAATCGAAAGTATCACGACACACAGTGAGCCCTCTAACTTCTTTTACTGTTCCAGATAGTAGATTTTCACATGTCCATATTGACATCGTAGGACCACTCCTACCTTCCCAAGGGCACAGATATTGTCTCACAATGTCCGATCGTTTCACCAGGTGGCCGGAGGCTACTCCTATGGTGGACATCTCCGCCGGAACAGTAGCAAAAACATTTTATTCCACCTGGGTGTCTCGTTATGGATGTCCACAACGCATTACGACGGATCAAGGACGTCAATTTGAAGCTTCGCTTACCACGTCCTTAACGAATCTACTTGGGATTAAGAGATGCCGCACGACTGCCTACCGTCCACAATCGAATGGTTTAATTGAACACTGGCATCGAAGCATGAAAGCCGCCATTATGTGTCATAACAGCACTAATTGGTTTGAGCTACTACCAACTATCCTCCTTGGACTAAGAACAAGTTTCAAAGAAGATCTACAATGTTCGCCTGCAGAATTAACTTATGGAACTCGGCTCAGAATTCCAGGAGAATTTTTCTTTGATGGCGAACATCCTTCCGTGGATCCTGGAACCTTCGTCGATCGACTTAGAGATCAAATGCGTGAGATTCGTTCATGTCCAATAGCACGACATGGAAAAACTGCAGTT